ACTTCTGCACTATACAAAAGTAGGGACCAAACATAGCACTTAACCATGCTTTGCCTTAGTTCTAAACTAAGATGGTTATTGCAAAGAAATGACTTTATTTTCATAAAAGTAGTTTTAGTGATTGCTATTCTACGTTTTGTTTCTATGTCTGGATCTAGTTGGTCTGTTATCACAGTTCCCAAATATATCATTTTGTGAACTTTCTCAACTTGGACTCCGTTTAATTGAAGCTTTGCACCGGAATGTGGGTCACGACTAAACACTAAAAATTTGTTTTTGTTTAAGTTTATTTTAATGCCTATTTTCTCTTCTACCTCGTGAATACGATCAAGCACAATTTAATAGTATCTGACAGAATTACTGTATCGTCTGCATATATAATCACATTAAATAGTTCCCCGTTGATTTTTATTCCATATGGTTGTCTCTTAAGTGCCTTTTTAAATAACCGGTCCGAGTAAACATTGAACAATGTTGGAAACAAAATGCAACCTTGTCTAACTTCTCGTTGTATAGAGATTTCATCGGTGTAGTTATCTCCAATTTTTACGATAGCAGTTTGATTCCAGTACAAATTTTTAATGACGCGAATATCCTTGTCATCTATTCCGATATTTTTCTATTTTTACATTAATTTTACATGCTCTACTTTACCGAATGCCTTTTCGAAGTCCACGAAACATGCAAATACATCTTTTCTTTGATCACGGCATTTTTTTAATAGGATGTTAAGCGCAAAAAGTGCCTCCTTGGTTCCCATAGCATTTCTAAAACCAAATTGGGTATCTTCAAGATCTTCTTCGCATTTGCTTCTAATTCTGTTGTGAAGTATTCTGAGGAAAATTTTAAGAGTGTGGCTCATTAGGCTAATTAATTGATATTCTGAGCATTTTCTCGCATTGTGTTTTTTAGGTATTGCGCCAAAGATTCATTTGAGCCAATCTGTGGGAATCACTCCGGTGTTATATATTGAATTAAAAATATACTCATGTGATATTAAAAGTCTGAGGTGCGTCAAGCAATTAATTAGCTAATTAATTAATCAATTAAACTTATTTAAATGATGCAATTATGATTCTATCATTCTATTTAATTCTCTTATCTCAGGGTTATACTCGTGCTTTAATATCTATGCTTTACATACGATAAGTAAGGTCCAAAGAATACCGGAATAATAAAAAACATATATGATACAACATTATATATTGAAATAAAAATATATTGAAATAAAATTCACACTCAAATATCTTCAATAAAAATATCTCATATAATGATTATTAAAATTTTGTTCTACGTACGTAAACCTTCAAAAATTAATGGTACATACAATATAAATTAAGATTTCAAATCAAAATTGTTGTTCTAAATCTCCTAATCAAAATCTTCCTATCTTTTCTAAAGCAACTGTTAAACATATGTGTTGTTAATAAAAAAAACTGACGAATAGTAAAACTATCTCTCTGATGATGAGTTGTCCAAATCCTTGTTCCTTGTAGCCTACACTATCTATTCTTAGCAGTCCCCTAGATAATCAACAATCTAACAACAAATTGTTGCGAGCCTATCGTCTTTAATGATCTCCTTCAAATGCACGTATCGTTCAAATGATGCTAGCCTCTTCTTCTCTCGATAAACTGAATCCACCAGAGAACAATCACTGTTTGCCTTGCACACTTGGAAAACAACTGATTATCTTCTTTCCCTCAAAAATCTAGCTAACTCTCATTCTTACAAACTATCCCACTTTTTTCAATCTCGTCCAATCAAAGCTAAATTTTTACCTACAATTATAAATTTACTAAAAACTATTAATATGCTAATCGGTTTCTACAAATTCTTAAGAACTATCGGAGAAATATATTTTCTAAACATTCTATTGCATTGTCTTATTCACTGTACAAGTTCATTTGGAAAACCCGCTCGCATTGTTCATGGTTTCACTAAGCTCACTCGAATATATTTTACAAAGAAAATAATGTATGCATATCTTTAATATTTTGTTTACTACAGGTAATCATTGGACCAATATTGGTCTTTCATTTCTTCGAAATATTTTTGATAGTTTATTAGTCGAATTATTTGAATTATTAAATTTTGTACTTTGAAATATATTAAGCAAACCAATATTATTTTCAATTTTACATAGCATAACAATACATATACATATTTTCACGCAGATGTTATTAAAAGACTGCATGAAGGTAATCAATGTATATACTGAAGAAATAGGAAGTTTTACTAGCCATTACCCAATATCAAGGAAGAACTTCCTGAAACTGGGACAAAGTTAGAGAAATCATAGAAACAGATGAATCGAGATCACAAGCATGTCACCCTGAAAAGTGCTTTACACCAGTTTTATAACTGAGAAGAAGCAGTAAAACTATTCGAGCTCCTCATAGACTAAAATTTATTTTCATGAAGCAGAAAATGTATAAGTATTTGCCTACTTATTGGAAATCTGCATAAAGAGTTCCATTAAAACGCGGTTGGTAGAATTAATTGTCCTCACTTACTGTCAATTATACAATTATCAAATACTACAGTTTATTCATTCATTATTTTAATGACGAATTTAAAATTCTTCACATTCAAAATAAAGGCCTTAAGCTATCCTTGTTAGAATCTATGGAAATTAACAAATTAAAAAACGCAGATATAATTCTGCATGACCAACTTGGGACAAACAGTTCTCCCCTCCTCAACCTATTTCATTAGAGACTATAAAGTGTAAACGGATGCCACAAATAGATCACTTGAGAAAGGCAATCAGCCGAAACAGCTGTAGTGATAAGAGATTAAAGTAAATTTTGTGGAAGTTTGAAAACTAAGTTTTCTGTGTTTTATTGTTACATACTACAGTTTACATACAGCGTCTTCATTTCTTCTGCTGTTCTGTTTCTATCCTCTTTGAGCTTCTCAGAGGTATATTATGTGGATTTACTTTTAATAAGTATTGTATATCGTAGGCAAATGCCAGACACTAATGTTTTCATTCATATATCAGTCATGATCTCTGTTCCATTAGGTCAAGAATTTCATGTCATCCATAGCTTAGACAGACAAATCAAACACTGACTAGTCTGTAAACGCTTACGTATTTTGACATAACCGTATTGTAGTTTACTTCTTCTTTGATTAGAATATTGATACGTCTGATTTTGAAACGACGACTTAATTGTAAGGTACTTACTTTCATTAGTTTTAATATTTTTGCAGTCATAGATATGTATTTCTTGAGGTTTGGAGTTGGTACCTCCTGCCAAAATGTTTAGATATTTACATTAGATTTTATGGACAATATATAGACTTTACAATGGAATAATAGGGAAATAAATCAGGGAATAAAATAGGGAAAACAGTAAGTATTTCTTAATTGAAAAATCTCTATAGGTACACCACTGCTGGCGGTTACCATAACACACGAAATTTACCGAAATAATATTTATAACATGGATTTAAACAAACCCATCACTGATAAATAATGATTTAAAAATCATAAACGTTTCAAACTATTACGTATCTATAAATCTACATTTCCAAACGAACCTTATCAAAATCTAGTAGATGATTTATTCCTTTGATGAATTTATTAATACCACATACAATAAAATCATAAACCTAAATCGAAATGAAAAGATCGGCAGGCGATTATGTCGTCATCAGAATAGATTTGAGATTAAAATTCCATCTGAATACAATAAGTCGTAAAAAACTTTGTATTTGTTACAAATAACAAAATTTTTGTCTTATGATTTGATAAATTGTTTTAGAGAGGCAATAAAAATTTGTCTACATATAATTGTCAACAAAAAGTCGACAGGTCCTTGTTAAAATCACGTGTATCTATCTGTAACAGCCACAAACAACAAGAATTAAATTGGAAAAATAAATAGCACTTGGAGTTAGATTAACCAAAGGCGTAGGACAAAAGATAGAGGATATTTAAAATGTATCTAGAAGCAGCACTTAATCAATGGAAGAAAAATTGTAAAAATATGGAGTTATTAATATTGTACATTCTATTGCAGCAACAATATTAAAAAAATCTAATCAACTTAAAAAAACTAAGAGCCAAATCTAAGTTTGTAATTGAATGAATGAATGAAGCTGATATTGTTACGTCATATTTTTTTGTTTTGACTTTTATACTAGTTGCCTGGATGGCTTTAGTCTCTATACTTTTTCTTTCGAAGTGAATTAGATTATTTTTTAACATTACTGTTGCTCCTCCACTAGCAGCACTTTCTAGGGTGAACAGTTTGATACAGTTTATATCCTCTGAATTTCATGAATGTCTCATGTCTATGTTTCATATATTTATTGTCTTGTTTTGTGAAGTGTGCCTTTGATAGTAAACTTATAGCGATTTTTTGGTTATTTAAGGTAAACAGAATCTCCTGCTGATGTTGCAAGAGGTCATTTGGGTTTTAATGTAATATTCTTAACTTTTCTACCACTTATCTTTAGTTTCTATACTATTTAGTCTTTCTAGGATTTTTTATTTATTCAAATTTTAGCGAACTCAAAAACATATCCAAATCAAAAACAGATTTAGAGGAAGAATACTAGATGGAGGATCGATTTTGTCTACTTGATAATATCTTAATATAGGCTGACATATGTCATAATGTAAACGGGAACACGAGGAGTAGACTTTTATAAAAAAAAAGATTTTTACATAAATTTTCTCTGGAGGTAGAGGTATTCTTCAGGTATATTTTCTTTCATGCAGAATACGTGACAGTTGGTAGCATGTTCACTCCGTTAAGTGGGAAATTCGGTTTAAAGATCCTGCTTTAGTTTCTATGAGCAGACTGTTACAAAGAGAAATATTTTAAAGTAGTTAAGAACAAAATGCAGATGCAACAAGTTGAATTCGTATTGCAGGGATAAGCAGTGAATCATTATTTAATTAGTTTATTTTTATAAATTATTTTCTATTATACAAAGCACAATAAAAAATTTCTGTTCCATTTATAGATATAGTGTATCTCTCTTTATTTATCGGTTTTAGTATTGACAAACTCCAAACCATACTTCTCTCCATTTCTAGCCAAACACTCAAGAATCTTCTTTCCAGTTTGACATTCAGGAAACTGTTTATAATCTAACTCCTTCTCACAAACCTTCCCCAGCTCATTTAACTTTGCTATCTTGGCTTCATCGCCCTTCATTGCCGCTGTAAGAGAATTCACCATTCCAGACCTGATAAACTTTCCATTTTCCATGATACCCGCTCCTTCAAATAGACAGTCCATGAGGCAAAGACCTGTTTTAGTAGTGGGGATTTTTCTGTCTCTCAAAGTTTCGAAATCTTCCTTGGTTGCGCCAGATTTAGAGCGACAGTTCCCGAGTAACGATTTGGTAGTTTGCCGGAATTTTTCGCTGAGGAATGAAGCTTGTATGGAGTTGTCCATGATAAAAAGAAGAAGAATAGCTGCAAAGGAAGAAACCTTTTATTATATAAATGCAAACTTATATAATACTAATAATATAATAATAATATAATAATAATATAATAATAATATAAATACAAACAGTAAATTGTAGTAAATTCAATTTACTGTTTGTATTTTGAGAACGATTTCCAAAGGGAAAATTGAAACGTCAATAAACGTATTTTTACCTTTAATTGTGGCTTATTCTCAGTTAAATAGTAATTAATAATTTCATATTCAAGAGTTTTAACAATTCTGCTGTGTATTATTTTCAAAAATGTTTTAAGTGTGTGACTTATTAAAGCTATTGTTCTGTAATCTGAGCAGGATATTGCACTTGACTTTTTGGGTATTATCACAAAGGTCGATTGCATCCATTGTTTGGGGTTCGTGGCAGTCTGATTTATTAGATTAAAGAGTTCAACCATTACATTAATAACATCTTCATTAATAAGTCTTAATAATTCAATGAGCACATTATCCGGTCCGGTAGCTTTGCCCTCTTTTGTGTTTTTGATGGCATAGATGACTTCTTCCGGTAATATTAGTGGTCCAGTATCATCTGTGGTTTCTAATGCTAGTTCTTGTCTTTCATCATTAAATAGCTTTTGAATGTAGTTGGTTTAGTGACACAATCTTTCCTTTATATCAGTAGTATTATCTCCTTTATCATTTTTAAGGTTATTCGTTCTTGTGATTTTTTCTAGAACCTGTCAATCTCAGATTGCTGATCTTAATTTCGCTGACCTTGATGCCGACATAAACCCTGCAAGTACCTCTTTAAGATCTTCTAAGATCTTTTAAGATACCTAATTCTCGAAGTACAAATTAAAACGCAGTGGCAGAGGTAATGGATTTTGGGAACAGCTATGACCTTGAACATTTCACATAAACTTGTGTACTAAATAGGCATAATTCATAGCTATTGTCAAAATCCAATACATTAATAATATAATTACATATCTTCGATTCTAAAATATTGTAGAAGACTTTAAAGAGTATGAGTAAGAAAAGAGATATTTAGTTATATTCTTTGTGGCATTTTCAAGGTCATAGCTGCTCCCAAAATCCATTAACTCTAACAAGATGCACCTCTGTTTAACTCCACAGAAAATTTCAATTTATTTATGCAACTTCTGACATTTGCTTGCTGGTAATGGTACATGTTTTATTTAATTCCTAAGTCTTTGTCTTCTATTCGTACTCGTTCAAGAGTTTCCATTAATTTTCTGTGTTTAACCTTTTTATGTCGATGATTGACATCTCTACACCTCTGTACCAGCACTTGCAAGCTAAATAGTGCGTGCCTCTCTTGTTCCAAGATCATTACAGAAACAAAATTGCGTATTACTAATTTCTCATTCAATTCCAGGATAAATTCTGGAGTAAATTATTCAAAGAAAAATTTTTAAAACGTGACTCATAAGTCTGATTGTCCTATAGTCGGAAAACTTTTTAGCATTTCCTTTTTTGGAAGTTTCACAAATAGAGAGTTAAGCCAATCTGTTGGTATTTGAAAGCTGGGAAGTGATTTTTACCTTTATTTACAAGTATTTTAAGTATTTCTGTTGGTATTTCATCTTGTCCTGTAGTTTTTCTGTTTTTACCCTGTATCTTTTTCTCCATTTTCTAATTCTTCCATTGTTATTGGGTGACGTGTAGTACAATTTTTATATTTCTTTTGCTTGTTGTTCATCGCTAACGTATGGTCCTAAAGTATTGGGAAAAATTTCACCTGGTCTGATTGGGAAGCAAAATACATTTAACAAAGAAGGCCATGGAATTGAAATGTCATCAGTTATTCACATTTGATAAACAAAGCAGAATATTCTGGTGTGTGCTTTGAAAAATGTCTTATAAAATTGATATTCATCGAGGTATTTATATTATGGTTGAGCGAACTTCGAAACGACATATTATTAATATTTATCGAGATCAAAATCAAGGATCAAATCGACAATTTATCGCACAATCTGACAAGAACAAAAACTGCATTAAATACTTGAAAGAACAACGCCCTATTATACGCTTTCTAATACATTTTCATTATACAAATTTCTAGTTACACTACAAAGAAAAGCAAGCATAAATTTTATAAAACGTACCTATTTTTAATGCCCACATATCTAAACATATGTTTAATACTAATTGAAACAACTATATCAATTGTATTAAAAAAGGTAATGATTTAAACTCAACCAAGTGAATAATGTTGGCCATGGTATTACAGTATCAGATGACATTGCGTTTTTCCGGTAATCAACCAACTGACATTAATATAACATCAATTTTTTCATACAGGGTAGAGCAGAATAAATAAATATAATAAAACTTAAGAAATCATCATTTTCTCTCCTGTTGCCCAGAAGAATGTAGAGTGTAGAATAATTTTAATAATTTTAAACTGTTTGACCTTGTGGTAATGTAGTGTTACGTACAATTTATGTCAAATTTCATGTGTATTACATTATGTGCTTGCTGGATAGCCCAAATTTGACGAAATGCCCCTGAAGATGCTATATTAAGCGAAAGTACTTGGGCAAGATTTGATTATTAAATTTGTGCTCGATATTTGCCTTAATTTTTCAAAGTTCATTTATTCAAGCATTCAACCTCATATCAATTAAATATGGGATGATCTTATACAGAACTTCAAAAAGTCCTATAAGCCCGTATCATACCTAACAATCGATGTGCAGCTACTGGCTTTTAGGGAAAGATGTCCTTTCCGGATGTATATCCAAACAAGCCCAATTCCTGCTCCATTCCATTTGGAATTGGGCAGGCCATGTAGCGAAAATGCATGACTTACGATGGACGAGCAAAATTACACGCTGGAGGCGAAGAGCAGACAAACGTAGTACAGGAAGACCAACTACAACTACAACCAGATGATAAGTGAAGGCTGGATGATGATGATGATGATGATGATGATGATGCCACACAAGACAGCCAAATATGGACTGAAAATAGTAATACGTAACTAAAACCAATGGACTGCCTCTAGGAGAATATTATGTAAAACAATTAACTTAGGGTGTGTACGGAAGTAACCATAACATAACCATGGATAATTAAATAAAATCGTAGGCTTCCACGGCCAGAGTCAGAATTATAGTTTATTCGTCTTCCGGGTTTGGACCGTGTCATTTGTGAGTGACCCAAAAGTGGGTTCATCTCGACGTTTCGCTACAATTGTATGTAGCTTCTTCAGGAGAACAAAGAAAAAGAAATCAAAAGACAGAAAGATGGGTAGTTAGCAACGGTAACTCAGTTACTCAACGCAACCAGAGGCGAATACTAACTACCAAGATGGGCATTTGGTCACAGTAACTCAACTACTTAAGGCAGCCAGAGGTGAAAATCAAATGCCAGGACAGGGATTCACGTCCAACAGCTCAGAAAAATGCCTCCTTTCAACATATTTTTCTTTTAGAGGCAATTTCTACAAACAAATATCTGGAACACCAATGGGTTCTTCCCTTTCCCCTGTCATTGCTGACATTTTCATGGAAGCCTTTGAGTCTTTAGCCCTAGAATCTTACCCCTTAAAACCAAAAGTCTGGTTCCGCTACGTTGATGATACATTTATCATCTGGCCCCATGGTCAACATACCCTTTCTCTCTTCCTAGATCATCTTAATTCACAACATCCGAGTATAAAATTTACAATGGAAGTAGAAAATAATCGGTCCCTTCCCTTTCTCGATGTGTTAGTCACCTCCAAGCCCAATGGCCGATTGGGTCACTCTGTTAATAGAAAAAAGACTCACACGAATCGTTACCTACATGCTTCATCACACCAGCATCCTGTCCAAAAGAATTCTGTGATCAACTCTCTCATCCATTGGGCCATTTCGATTTCTGAACCTGACAACCTTAGAGAAGAACTTGGCCATCTGCAAAAAACCCTTGTCGCCAACGGTTACTCCAAGTCCACAATTCAAAATATTACACACCGACATCTACATCCCCCTTTACACCCTAGGACGACAAATTCAGAATCTTCGGGTAATACTCCTGTGGCTTTTCTTCCGTATATTCTAAGTGTCACTGATAGGATTGACAAAATTCTTCGCAAAGAAGGTATCAGGACTACTTTTCGACCACCCAAGAAAATCTTACAATATCTACCCTCTCCTAAGGACCCATTACCGCCCCTATCTTCCTGCGGTGTCTATTCTATTCCTTGTTCATGTGGACATGTGTATATTGGCGAAACTGGTCGTTCCGTTAAAACTCGGATTCAAGAGCATCAAAGATGCATTCGATCAGGTCTTTTCTCCCATTCTGCAGTTGCAGAACACTGCCAAGAAACCGGTCATTCCATATTGTTCGAAAAAACCCATATTATTTCGAAGAGCCCCTTCTTTTATTCCAGGAAAATCCGCGAATCTCTAGAGATCCGAAAAAATCCACATAATATCAATCGAGAGGAAGGATACTACCTGTCTCCCATCTGGAATCTCAGTCTAGAGCCGCCGTCCGGTCCCGCTACCACGATGCAGCCACATGATTGGCCAGCGCGCGCTTCTTGAAGTTCGCGCCACGGAGTGTGCCGATACGTCCCGACACGACAGGTCACCGCGACTATAAATAGAGCGGTAGCGGAGTAATCGTCGGATTCACTCCCCGCCTCTCGATGCGTTAGTGTTCTGAGCTGTTGGACGTGAATCCCTGTCCTGGCATTTGGTTTTCACCTCTGGCTGCGTTGAGTAGTTGAGTTACTGTGACCAAATGCCCATCTTGGTAGTTAGTATTCGCCTCTGGTTGCGTTGAGTAACTGAGTTACCGTTGCTAACTACCCATCTTCCTGTCTTTTGATTTCTTTTTCTTTGTTCTCCTGAAGAAGCTACATACAATTGTAGCGAAACGTCGAGATGAACCCACTTTTGGGTCACTCACAAATGACACGGTCCAAACCCGGAAGACGAATAAACTAAAATCATGAATAATTAGTTTACGTCAGTGCCTCTAGC